GGGGGGGGGGGCGCGGGGGCGGGAGGACGAAGGGGTGGGGCGCACACGGGGGGGTGTAGTAGACAAAACTCGCGGAATGGAATGAGAAACAGGGCACAACCGAGAGGTGAGGGGAGGTGTGCAGAAGGGTGTGGGGAGCTTGAATGACAACGAAACGATCCAATGGAAGAACAAGGGCGGGAGATTAGCAGTGGTCAGTCGGTTCCCGAGACGCAGGCACGTAGCAAACATCGCGCGGTCTTTGTAACGGATCGGGCTCTCGCGTTTCCTTCTAGGAGGGTATGCGCATGCCGTAGGTTGCTCAAAGGTACCACTCCCTGGACCGATTTTAAGGCCCAACTACATACTCGCGACGAAGAATTGCAACAACAAAAAATTGTACAGCAGTACTCCGTGTTAGGCAAGGTTGGTTCCAACACCGCCAGGTCTCGGCACGGCCATCACTGAGTTTGCTGCATTGGCAACTGGGCTCCGACAATCGGTCGAGGGGGGGTAATGTCTTATGCAATCTACGGTATCTCCCCGGGGAATGTGGTTGCGCGACTCTTGGCGGACGGGGCTTGTGCGATCCACGTTTCGGCCGTGCTGCTACAGCTGTCGCAGAACCAGCGGAACATCATCGCTGGTTTCCGTGAGCCTCGTCATCCCCTTCTTCGCGTTTCTCTACTCCATTGTAGCCGAGAGTGGCACGGGAATATATACTTCTACAGCAGTGGTCAACCTCGCGATCTCGCGATGCATAGAAACGCGCATGAATAGAAAAAACCTTACAGCGTCGGAATATTGCACGGGGAGTTGGCGGTCCGATTTCTCCGCGCTCCGCTGTCATTTTCCCGTCGGGAGAAAATCTCTCGTCATAGTACCACTTGGCCAAGCCACGACATCTCTGATGTACACGACTAAGACGTGGCATCCCCCTCCAAGCGGAAAGGCTTTCCGCGACTGCACGCTCCATCAACCGTTTGGTCGGTTTTCATTGACAAGAACGCGACCCAGGAGGACGGGGGACGCAGGCAATGCATCCCCGGCTTCCGTGAACAAATCCAAGATCTGATACGCACTGCCGTTCCCACGCAAGCATTGGTGCAACAACAGCAAACGCCGTTGCAGCTGCAACATGTCGGGGATATCCGCCGGTGGATTCTAGTCATCGTGCCGACGGTAAAGCGCATGCCGACAATTGGCACAACAGAGCGCACGAGAGGTGTGTGTGCATTGTACATTACAAACTCACCCGTTGGAAAGGAGACTCGGGGCGGGCCAACCGACGGATCAACTGCCTATATTTCCAGAAATTTGGGTTGTACGCATACATGCAAAGATAGTCTCCCGCTTCGTACCTCTCGTGCTTGTGGTAGATTCCCTCAAGGTGCTCCTCCTTGAGGGTGATAGTGGAGCCGAGCTTGAGGAAAGGTCCGGCCCAGGCGAACGTCAAGTAGGAGCCCCAGCCCAAGATGCCTCCCCTTTGCATTGCTTCCGCCATGCGGTTGCCGGGTTGATGGGCAACGTCGCCGCCCTCTTCAACATGCTCGTGTTGCTGCTGTTCCCCGGGTGAAGCAGTCGGGCCCTGACCACCACCTATACTTGTTTGGCCTTGGCTGGCCTCGTCGGCTTGACGCACGGAAGCCATTTGCTGGACAGCCCACGTCAACCTCAACGCACAACACGTACGTCGGCGGGACCCTCCTCTACGCAAACGTTGCGTGTTGCCCTACCTCTTGTTGTGTGGTGTACACCCGGAATCTAGCAAACCGATGCACCGGCAATGTCTCCGAGCCGCGCGTGGTCTCCGAACAGAGAGATCAAGAGGTACGTGTCTGTGTCACTTCGCTCGCCAATCGAGTGTGGCCTGGCTGACCTTGCGATCACACGCACACGTCGGCCGGCTGCTGCTGCGTACCGCCTTTAGACAGGGGTTTCGTGTTTCCGAGGGGAGATCCCGGAGAATCGATGCAGATCTCATACGTAGTAGATTTCGTAGATCGTGGATCCGACGGACAGTTGACAGCACCGCCGCGGCCTTAGCGACTTACAGCAGTGGCACCGCCGCCCTCAACCTATCATACACGATGCTGCACGCTGTGTTCTGTGCAATCGTGCTGAAGGGAACATGAAAAAAGACAATTGAAGATAAAGATACAACACAATCAGGATCCAAAAACAGTGTGTGTGTGTTTTCGTCCTATTTATTATGGCGACAGTCCCCCCATTTTTCGTGGTGAGACGTGTACTACACTCTTTCAGCGTATGTAGAGTACCACACTTTTCCGTGTATTTTTTCGTACAACTACAACCATCCAGGGTCACACAGGAGGGGGTAAACACCGGGGCTTTTTTCTTCTTTTTATTTATTTTCATGCCCCACCTTCCTCCTGCGGTGCGTGCTGAATTCCTATTTTTATCGTGAGAAGGGTCCAACCGTCCCTTTTCCTCGTCAATGGTGCTAACGTACAAGTTTGGTACTCACGAGAGCTTTTTAGCTATATTTCGCTTTCACCCGCACATTTCGTAATTTTTTCACCCCATGGGGATGCGAACTCACGGCCTCTGCGACTAGCGGATTACGAGGATACCACTAGACCACCGGGGCGACCGGTGTAGACTATAGGCTATGTTTCGACAATCTTCCCCGCACCCTGACTAAGTAGACAAATACTGCCTCTCGAGCTGTACGACAGTCCCCTCTCCTTCCCCCCTTGCCGGCGTCAATCCCTCCTCTTCAAGACAAAGGAAATTGTTTCATGTACTCAGTTCTCCCTAAAAGCTGGTCGCGACGGCTCTGCAGTAGTGTACTTTGGTGCCGCTTTTTCCGACATAAGGTGCCCACGGCGGGCCATATCTCATGTGCAGCATTGTCCAACCATTGCAACCATACTCATAGAAAACAACCACAACATACGCAAGAGGGAGAGCCCCACGACTCAAGAGAATACAAGAATAATTGGTTTGCTGAGCTGCCGGCGTTTCGGATCCAGCCGTTGTGCGATCTGATGTAGAACTTGAGGGGGACGGATTTCACAGCTGAAGAGACTTTGCTGCTTCGTGCTCTCTGCTGCATACACGTGGCTGTTCCAAGACATCATCCAAACCATCACAGGTGTGTACACAATTACACAATGATATTTTGATTCGTGGCCTCCAGCTGAAGTTGCACAAGCCCCTCTGCAACTGCACAAGCTCGTGTGCTGAAGTGCGCTAGTGTTGTGCGCCATACTCGTAAAGAGTACCAAGTTGCTACACCTCCATCAACCAAGAACCGACAAGGAAACAAGGAGTACAATGTTTTACCGTACACCACATCCGCACAAGATCCCTGGAGATCCGGTGTACTCGCATAGCTGCTGGAATGATGTATGTACACCTTGAACAACCCCGCTCGTCTTGCACGCACCGTTCACATTTTTCTCGATGCCCAACGCGACACAAACCAGGAGCGCGTATACAGCAATCCATGTCCAATCGATAACCACGTGGACCATGGCAACACCACCAGGTGAAATGAAACTGCAAACACACACAACCAATGCGAGCTCTTGTGGACACTCAACAATGGGCACCACAACAACAATACCGACCGCCGAACATCTTCGCAACATACTCCTCTATACCTGCCAAGAATAACATAGTCAGATACACAAGACGGCCTCCTAACTGCTGTCTTGCCGAGCCTGTTACCCACAGGAGAGATAACGCTGTATGCTGCTCGGTGAACCGTACAACACACATCCATTGCTACTCTTCCACGGGCCCTTTTCTGTGGAAGCGCAAAAAATCAAGAGGAAAACAAATCGTGACATGTACTCGAGAGGTAGACTAGAGACCCCAAAACATCCAAATCTTTCGGTGATTCGATGACCAGGCCATTAAATTACGGTTTGCAGCGATGCCAATAACCACTACAACTAGAAACCAAACAATACCGCCTCTCTACAAAGATACACGCCAACCCGGCTTTCGAGAGACTAAAACAAAGCAAGAAACAACAGAAACAGCACGGCAGGCAGTAACGAAGGACTCAACCCATGCCCATCCCAAAATCAAAACGAAACTGGAACAGAGCGACGTGGGGTTCAACGAGGAGCTCTTCAGAGCTCCTCCTCCCCTTCCTTCGGGGGGTAGAAATCCCTCGAGTTCCACGTGACCTTGGAAACTTCAGGCCGCGAGAGCAGAAAGTCCAGGATCTGGCAGGGAAACCAATGGCAAGGATACCGCCGACAACATAGAGAAGAGTTTATTTCGTCATGGAGAGCAACCCGACGTCGCGCTCGTCGAGCGGTCCAATCAACAGCCAGCCCTTGTCGTACGATCATTCTCACCGACCGTGAGAGAGGGGGTGTGTGGAGGGGGGGAGGGGTACACAAACTGGAAGAAAAATAATGTAGTGCAGCAGTGTCGGCACAAGAGAAGCGGTGAGTCCGCGCTTGGATCATCGATGCGACCTTGCTATCGTGTTGTGTAGGATCGACCGTGCCAGCCCGCTGACCAATAAAAAAGCATCAGTGTTGCAGCGGGGAGCACAAAACGAACATTCTTCTTATATTCAACGGGCTCTCCCGGTGTATGTGTGTGTGTTGCGTTCCTTGAACTAGCATCGATTGCGCCAACCGGCTACACGAAAAGACGACTCAGTCGAAACGCGGGATGCCCACGCGAACACTCTTTCTAGTGGTAGGGTTCTATCTGCAAGGGGGCGCAGGAGTTGGACTACGGTGTCCTGCTTCTGAGATGACTCAATAACACCGACCAGCAATGATGCGGGATGGGTGTGTGTGTGTGTGTGTGTGTGAATACCGCGGTATGTCTTCATCCTTCGCTGCGCCTCGAAGAGAAAACGTCCACAATTGACGACATCTCAACCTGCTTCATTTTTTCAACCGGCGCCAACAAATACCGGTCGACGACCATTCAGAAAAAAAAAAAATGTTCACGCGCGCAGTTGAACACCAGAAAAAATCGTCGTCCGTACCTGCTGGCCTTCCCACCCCCTTTGCGACGAAACGAGAACAGACCCGGCGTCGAGTGGATACACCGACACTTCCAGACTGCCGAGTTGCGCCAACTGACGACAAAGGAGCGACAAGAAACGAATGATAAGCATCAGCCAGTTTCATACGAGCAGCACGGTGTGGGACGGAAGGAGGGAAGGACGTCTCACTGGTGCGTGTTGTTGGAATAGCATCGACAGTGTGACGAAAACACACGAACACTGTCTGGCGAAAGAATAAGTATGTGCGTGTTGAAACTACATCGTCGACCGCACTAACCGGCTGACCAATGACGTCAGTTGTGAAGTAGCATCGACGGCGCAATATTTCTCAGTGCGTGTGTACGTGTGTGTGTTTCGCCTCTGTGGCGATCATCGGCGATGCGTCTCAGTTGGTAGCAAGCCTTCGGGCGACAAAGCTTCACACTTCCTGGAGATGGGCGACTGTAACGCCTCGGAGGTCAACTGCTGTATCTGTTCACTCTTTAGGTAGAGCCTGTGCGCGTGTACACAGTAGATCATTCCCGCCCAAAGCTTGCGACGGCTGTTGCCTTTATCAGCGTAGGGATGGAGCGGGGAGGTCCCCCGTTGTGAAACTGAAAACGGTAGCAGCATACACAGTCACCAAAGGGTGCCTTTGCTAGAGCATATACCACTACCTGGGCAGATTCGAATGTGCTACCCGGAATGTACCCACACCAAGGCAGACATGAAAGAAGGGTTGCCCAAGTATCCCAAGCCTTGGCGCAGAAGCGGGACGTTGTACATACCCAGGCTGCCCGACTCCGTCGGAGGTGAGGAATAGCCGAATGTCACGCGCCCAGATGTCCGACTTTTGGGTTAATCTCACCCAAAAGACGGCACTCTCTTGGATAGCAGCTCCTCCTACCAGACTGTCAAAAGCTCGCAAAGGTGACTACCGTGGCTGAGCGTAAACGTGCACGCAGACATTGGTGTTTGGGTCAATCTCGCCAAAACACGCACACCTCTTGCATCGCAGCTCCCCCTTCCAGACTCTCAAGAAGGCGCTCCAAGAAAATCAAGTACTCCCACTACAGAGTGCAGTCATCCCCACCTGCTGGAGGCGACCGCCGACCTTCTCGGTCTCTTCCTTCGAGATCGGCCCGTCGTTGTCGCCGCTGCCGCCGGTCTCCCCCAGCCCGCCCGACCCGACCTGGGCAAACAGCATCGTCGGGCCCGTCGCGTCCTTCTGCCCCGCCGCCATCGCTCCAACTTGCGCGGCGGTCATGCTGCCCAACGAGCTGCCGATTCGATTGAAACGACGTTGGCCGTTCTTTAGTATATGTGGGTTTCCCGACGGAGAGTGACGTGGTTGTCATCGCGAGGAAGGAAGGAAGTACCGTCGAGAGTGCCGGGTCGTCCCATTTTGGGCCGTGAGAAAAGTGTTCGTATAGGACGGCAGCAGGCAGGGAAAAAGGGGAGGAGGAAAAGCAGAAAAACAGCAGGAGGGCAAGAAAGCGGATAATGCCAACGGACGGCAGAAGCAAGCCTTGGGCTAGGCATAAGCCCACGGGATCCGTACCACAAACACAGAAGTTCGTACCTACTTCAATCGCTGGGAAATGATATTCTCCTTCTAGTGTCAGCCAATAGTTCGGTATACAGTTAGCGCTCGCAATTAAGAAACGCTTATTTCAGGTCCAGCCTCGAATTCTTGTTGTGGGCAATAAACTCAGCGTATGTCTTATGTCAAGTTTCGTATTTTCGTGCCGCCAAATCCTGCTGAATTTCTTCAATCGGCAATTTCTTATTTTCTCTGCTCACGAGAGCTGGCGGAGAGCACCATCAAAACCGTACAGCAGACAGTATATCGTGGTTAGCAGCC